ATTTTTTTTTCAACGTTTATTTATTTTTGGGACAGAGAGAGACAGAGCATGAACGGGGGAGGGGCAGAGAGAGAGGGAGACACAGAATCGGAAACAACTTTTCTTTTTTTTAAATAGAAGGGAGAGTCTTATATGTTACTAGGCTTTGGAGAACAACTATGGAGAGACAGGTTTAAAATACAAGAGACCGAGTATCACCACTATTACAGCCTTTCTGACACAATTTTGCAAACTTCCTACCTTTCTACAAACTTTCTACCTTTTTGTTCCTGTTCCAAAGCCTTCAAGGAATCCCTACCATCTAGGCAATAGTATTCAAATACCTTCCCAACATTCAGGGTCTTCTAGAATCTTGCTCCAACCTACTTTTGCGGGGTTTTCTCTTTCTATAACCTGGAGACTCCTCCAGCTGATTTTTCTCTCCTCCCCCCTTGAGGGGTTTTCCCTTGTCTTCACTTACCTCTCACCTCTGGCCTCTTTTCCATTCACTCAAGTCTCACTCCCTCCAGAAAGCATTTCCTGAGAGACCGCACTTTTCAATGGCCACCTCTGCCTTTCTAACCCTCCTAGAACGAAAGTAGAAGGTGCAGACCGGCCCACAAAGTGGTTGTTTGTTGTTGTTCCATTGGAATTAGCTTCCAAATTGACAAATCAGAAATTTGCACATAACACCCTACATTTCTAGTTTCTCTTAAAAAATCAGAAGATGTGGTGACACTGTGTCTGCATCCCCTCCTGGCAAGAATGGGCGGGAGCTGAGTGGTAAGAGCTGGCCCTTTTGCTAAGGCGTGCATTCTCAAGTTTTATCCTTACAGCCACTCGCCATACTCATATACACATGCGCCTGGCTCATGTAAGTATTTACGCTTGAAACCCCAAGTCTGAACCACGGTTGGACACTCGGGGTGCACTACCTGGTATTTACCTTTATATTTATCATGTCTTCCAGGAAAGTTCCACATTGGCCTTTCCACATCTTGGGCCCATTTGGGATGCCCCACAATGCCTAGCACAGCGACTTAAACTTAGGAGTGCGTTTGGTGTAAGGTAAATGAGGATGGTGATAGTAATGAGAAGGAGTCTGTCTTTTCTTAAATGATCCATCACCCAATAGCCCTATTACCCACAATGCGGACTCATCTGGCATTATGACCCAAAGCCATAGGGCCTGAGGTCTCATCTTGATGTAAGTAGCACGTAGATTGCGGAGGAGAGACAAGGTTTGAAATGTATGGAGTTAGAAGCTAGTCTGTGGAAAATTCAGTCATCACGTGTAAAATTGGAAGGGAAAAATCCAGTCGTCACTAATACCTACAGTAGCAGGCGTCCAAGATAGACCCCGGTGACGTCTGCCTCCCATTATTCATACCCTGCTGAAACTTACTGCAAAACAGTTTTACAGAGGCATTGGGAACTGTTAAAAAGAAGCCAGGCCTCTAAGCACTGACAACCATTAAAAAATATTCAAGATACATTGTAAAGTGGGGGGGAGAAAAGCAAACTGCAAAACAATATGCATAGCGTTGGCTTGTTCATATCTCAAAAATACTGTGTTTCACTCATTCTAAAGCATATATCCTTTCAGCTGTTTGTATCTCTGATCAGTGGCCGGTCAGAGTTTAATTGGTGGGTTTTTTTGTCTTAGAGTTCCGTAAAATAAGATGTGTCTTGGGGTGCCTGGGTGGCTCAGTCGGTTAAGCGTCCGACTTCGACTCAGGTCACGATCTCGCGGACTGTGAGTTCGAGCCCCACGTCGGGCTCTGTGCTGACTGCTCAGAGCCTGAAGCCTGTTTCAGATTCTGTGTCTCCCTCTCTCTCTGACCCTCCCCCGTTCATGCTCTGTCTCTCTCTGTCTCAAAAATAAATAAACGTTAAAAAAATTAAAAAAAAAAAAAAGATGTGTCTTACAATCAAGGATCCCTTAGATTTGATGAAATATGATATAACTATATACAGTATACCAATCAGACCAGGACTGGAGCTTGTAAAGCCCTAGCCTGAAAAACCCTTCAGCTGTGTGGCAGGCCTTCTGCTAAGTTGAAAAACCCTAGGTGTTGTGGCACAGACAGGAATTGGTTACCAGGCACCTGCTTGGCAGGCCTGGTTGACATGGCAATCAGAGTATTGTCATGTAAGGCAGGGATGGGACTGGGATTCTAATGTGCCTTCTCACTATGAAAGGAGATTAAAAGCCCAAGAGTGAGGAGCCCCCGGACTGCTCTGACCTGGACTGGCTGAGGCTCCCACACCAAGCTGGTAGCTGGCAGAACAAGCCTAAGAAGAAATAAAAGGTGCCTGCAGTCCCATCCGCTTTACTGTCAAACGTATGCTTTCTTAGTAGCAGCACTGTATCCTTTACCCAAGTTTGGTAAAATGTTGCCATCGAAGGAAGTTCTGTTGAGCCACCAACCCAGAGGGGATCTTGGGCTCCTACTGTATCAAGAGTAATGGATTTAGATCTATTTGCACACAAAAGCGTTAGAATATATGCTAAATTAGTGAGAGATGATTTTGCAGGAATGAAATTAACGGAGAGTTAAACGTTCTTCAGTTCTGTGTTATTTAAAAATTTTAAAAACGACTTATATATTTCTCTTATAATCAGAGAAAAAAAGGTAAACATTCAAATTGGAAAGTAAAGGATAATGTTAATAATGAAGTGGCCAGATGTTTTTTCCCTTTCCATACTCCAACCGTCATGAGTTTAATTATTAGTTATTATAGCAAGTAGTTTATTTCTAAATTAAAACTATACACGGTTGAGGCGGTTTATTCATGAAGCAAATTCTTTGGTAAGAATATACTGAGGGCCTACTGTCTATAGACACAGTTCTCGCGGCTTTCGCGCTTATTACCTCACTCAATTAAAAATGAAAAGAAAAACTTTTTTTTTTAAACCAAAGACGGTTTCAAGAAACCCGTAAGTTCCTGAAACGCGTTCCTCGCCAGGGAAGTTACCCCGCGTCCTAGCGCCTCCCCTCTCACGTGACCCTGCGACTCGGGGAAGCCATCTTAAGCCTCGCCTCACAGAGGAAACTACATCTCCCAGAATGCTTTCTCTTTGCGTCGTGCTGGCACTTTTACTGGCCGGGTCCTAGAGCTGAGCCTGTAGCCAGGCGCCATCTTTGACGCTGGCAGTCTTGGATTTCTGCTGGTGTTGCTGCTGTGAGGACGGCGGGCGGTAGCGGCTAAGAAAGAAGAAAGACGTGGCAGCAAGCGGGAGTCGGGGACAGTGTCGGCGGTTCGGTAAAGTTTCTGTTCTCTGGTAACTAGACCCGTTTTTTGATTCCCGGTGGCTCGGGGCAGGGGAGGTGGGGGAGAGGGCGAGGGGAGTGGCCGCGGCCTCCCCTCGCCCCCGGGTTGCGGCCTAGCCCGGGAAGTCAGAGCGGGTCCTTTGGCCCCGCCGTAACGACCCCCCCCCTTCCCCCACCTCCGGCCCGCCGCCCTCGCCGGGGCGAGCTGGGAGCCTCGGGCTCCCGCTCACAGTTCCCGTCCACCCCACCCCCACCCGCTGCACCCCACCCCCACGGCGCCTGCTCCTTTCCCAACAACCTTCCTCCCCTCCCCCACATCCGGTGTTGGCGAAACCGTAGGAGCCCGCCGCAGCCCCGGAAAGCCGGCTTGTTCCCGACTCCCGAAGAGAGATCTGACACTAGATCGCTTTCTTCGCGACAACAGTTTCCCCAGTTTAGCGGTCCCCCACTGCCTAAATCAAACTGAGTGCCAGGAGCTGAATTTACCTACTCTCATTCCTCTCCAGGGTCCCACTACTTGGGAGATACTCTCAAACTCCACATACAGAAAGCCACCGACCTTAATCCGGTATCCTACACCCCTTCCTTACCTTAATTAACTCCCACCCCAGCCCTCCGCATCGGAGTCAAGAACAACAGGGACACTTCCGTTCTCCTTGTAGGATTGATGAAACCGTAATGAAGAACACCCCCTAAGCTCCCATAATCGGTGCGGATTCCTATGGGGAAGGCCCATGTTGTTGACATCTTGCAGGCCTTGGTTCTGGACCTTGAGAAGGAGGCTGTGGAACTAGTGATAGCGATGCTTTTTAGGGTAAATGTATGTAGGTATTGGGAGAAGGGGAGGGATCAACCGAAAAGCAATGAAAGTGGTTTACAGCTCAGATTTCAGTTCTTGCTGCTCCCATAGAGTTCAACTCGTGAGTTACTCCTTTACAGGCAGTAAAGCTTCCCCAGTCTAAAAATGTGGCAGAACGAAATTTGGATTAACTCTTGATACAAACAGTAAATTGAAAATGCAGCTTGTGAACCTTACAAATTTATACTCCCAAATCCCTTTTTTTTAGCCACCCGCATTTTTAAAAATTGAATTATTGTTATTTAGAGCTGAAAGGGCTCAATTAGCATATGCTGTTAATGACCAGTATGTGGAGTTTGCTTTATATTTCCCGGATTTGACTTTTTGGGTTGTATTGTCAAATCACAGTCCTAAATGATGAATGTTGAATGATGCACTATGTTTTTGTTTAAGTGAGGTTTCCTGAAATTAAATAATTTCAGAACTAAGGGAAATTGATGTTGCTACCATGACGCATCCTAAAAATACACATTTTAAAAGCTGAAGGCATTTCAAGCAGAGATAGTTCTTGATGAACCAGAGAAAACATGGACCTGGGATTTGGAAGACCTGGCTTCTAGCTGCTACTAACTCTATGACTCTGGGAAGGTGGCCCTCAGTTCCTTTTTTCTATGACACGAAGAGATTGGACTGTTTGAATTCAGATTCAGAACTCAGAAGCTGGAAGGGATCATAAAGCCCTATAAGAAAGAGTTTGGGAATGTTCTCCATTGCTGTCACTTTTCTTCCAAAAATAACCTGGCTTGGAAGTCATTGTTCCAAAGGGAATTTGATTCCCCATAGAAATTGGAGACAAGGTAATGCGATTAGAGAGGAACAGCTGTATTTCTGCTTGAGTGATAAACCCACTAAGAGATTCTGGTACGAATTTTGGAGACATAAAGAGAATGAGTGTATGTACCTTAAGCGCACCAGTTTCCTCGCTCTCTCCTGGCCGAAGATGCAGCACTTTTAGCGGTGCTGGGATTCTGGGATGTGTTCCTATTAATTCTAACACAGATGAAGATGATGTAGTAGAGGGGAAGATGGTGGCCGAAGGAATGGATAAAGAGGCAAAATTGCCTGCTAAAAAGAAAAGGAAGAAGGGTTTACGGATTAAGGGGAAAAGGCGAAGAAAAAAACTGCTCCTTGCAAAAAAGTTTAGTAAGGATCTGGCATCTGGGAGGCCTGTTGCGGATGCGCCTGCTTTATTAGCTTCCAGTGCCCATGAGCAGGATGAAGAAAGTCTTTTCGAGAGCAATATAGAGAAACAGATCTACCTACCCAGCACCAGAGCCAAGACCTCCATTGTGTGGCACTTCTTTCACGTTGACCCCCAGTATACCTGGCGAGCTATTTGTAACCTCTGTGAAAAAAGTGTCAGCAGGGGTAAACCAGGCAGCCATCTGGGGACATCTACTCTACAACGACATCTGCAGGCAAGGCATTCACCTCACTGGACCAGGGCCAACAAATTTGGAGTCACTAGTGGGGAGGAGGATTTTCCTTTGGATGTGCCTTTATCTCCCTCTTCTGCTGGAAGCAGTGGAAGCTTTGAATATATCTCTACTGATCCATTAGATGAAAACAGAATGGGTAAGAAACGTGATAAATCGGTATCTGATGCCCTGAGAGCAGAAAGAGGGAGATTTCTCATCAAAAGTAACATTGTCAAGCATGCCTTAATTCCCGGGACAAGAGCCAAGACATCTGCGGTGTGGAATTTTTTTTATACTGATCCTCAGCACATCTCAAGAGCTGTGTGTAATATATGTAAACGGAGCGTGAGCCGGGGTAGGCCAGGTTCTCACTTGGGAACGTCAACGCTTCAACGACACTTGCAGGCCACACATCCCATCCATTGGGCCGTTGCCAACAAAGACAGTAGTGCGGTTGGGAATGGATTAGATGAGACTGAGACTGAGAGAAATGATCTCTTAAGCGATCCTCTGCATGGAGAGAAGTCTACAGGCAGCCACAGTTTAACAGCCGAGGACCTTAGTGACTCTGATTCGGACGAACCTCCTGTATTAGAGGTGGAAAATAGTAGAAGATCTGAGAGTCCTAATCCTGTTGCAGAGCAAGACACTCTGACCCATGCACAGGAGAGAGAGACAACATATTCCGAAAATTCAGTCTCAAGTCAAATAAGTCAGGCAATTATTCAGATGATTGTGGAGGATATGCATCCTTACAACTACTTCTCAACCCCAGCCTTTCAGAGGTTCATGCAGATTGTGGCCCCCGACTATAGATTACCATCTGAGACTTACTTTTTCACGAAGGCTGTACCTCAATTGTATGATTGGGTCAGAGAAAAAATTTTCTTAACTTTGGAGAATGTTCAAAGCCAAAAGATCCACCTGACTGTGGACATCTGGACCCACGACCCATCCACGGACTATTTCATTGTGACTGTACACTGGGTCTCTTTGGAAACTGCACCTTCTAGTAATGGCAGGACCCCCAATTTTAGAAAGTGGGCAGTACTTTGTGTGACAGGTTTGGCCAAAGACTGTTTGATAACCAACATTTTACAAGAACTAAATGACCAGATTGGTCTGTGGCTTTCTCCTAATTTCCTCATTCCTAGCTTCATTGTTTCTGACAATTCTTCTAATGTGGTACATGCAATCAAAGATGGTGGTTTTACCCATGTGCCGTGCTTCCTGCATTGTTTAAATATAGTCATTCAGGACTTCTTCTGTGAGCACAAAAGCATTGAGAATATGTTAGTAGCTGCTAGGAAAACCTGTCATCATTTTAGTCATTCAGTCAAAGCCCGTCAGATACTGCAAGAGTTCCAAAACGATCACCAACTCCCGTGGAAGAATTTGAAGCAGGATGAAACTGGCCATTGGATTTCTACCTTTTATATGTTAAAATGGCTCTTGGAGCATTGCTATTCAGTTCACCATAGCCTTGGCAGAGCCAGTGGAGTTGTGCTCACCTCCCTTCAGTGGACCCTAATGACTTACGTTTGCGATATTCTGAAACCATTTGAGGAGGCCACCCAGAAAGTGAGTGTCAGGACCACAGGATTGAATCAGGTGCTACCCCTAATCCATCATCTACTTCTTTCTCTGCAGAAACTCAGAGAAGATTTTCAAATAAGAGGTATTACTCAGGCACTCAATCTGGTGGACAGTTTATCTCTGAAACTTGAAACTGATTCCCTCCTGAGCGCCATGCTCAAATCCAAGCCTTGTATCTTGGCTGCTTTGTTAGACCCTTGCTTTAAAAACAGTTTGGAAGACTTTTTCCCTCAAGGTGCTGATTTAGAAACTTACAAGCAGATCCTTGCAGAAGAAGTTTGCAACTATATGGAATCTTCAGAGGTCTGCCATATTGCGACTTCAGATGCTTCTGGTCCCTCAGGCATCGTAGGAGCTGATTCGTTTACCTCATCTATAAGAGAAGGCACCTCCAGTTCAGGGTCTTTTGATAGCTCAGCTGCAGATAATGTTGCCATTGGAAGCAAAAGCTTCATGTTTCCTTCTGCCATAGCAGTAGTGGATGAATACTTCAAAGAGAAGTATTCAGAGATCTCAGGAGGTGGTGACCCTTTGATTTACTGGCAGAGGAAGGTGAGCATATGGCCAGCTTTGACCCAAGTTGCCATTCAGTATCTAAGCTGCCCCATGTGTAGTTGGCAATCTGAATGTATCTTTACTGCAAATAGCCAGTTTCATCCAAAACAGATCATGAGCCTGGACTTTGACAATATAGAACAGCTGATGTTTTTGAAAATGAACTTGAAAAATGTTAACTATGATTATTCTACATTGGTTCTGAGCTGGGATCCTGGGAATGAAGTTATTCAAAGCAATGAAAAAGAAATATTACCTTAATTTCTTTTTCCTTTTTCCATTTGAAATGGGCAACTTGTTGCTATGTTACTGTATCCTAATTGCTATAGTTGTTAAACATAGTTACACTAATTATTCTTAATACACACATCTGGGGAAACCTGAAAACAAAGAGTGCTGAAAATTCCTCAGAGGTAATAATGTTGACAAAGTGAAGATTAAAAATTTCACAGTAGTAACTCAATATAGCTGTCACTTGAAATTTTGTTTATACCAATTAAGAGAGAAAAGGTATTTTTTAACTTAAAAAATATAGTGCAGCATTGAAAGGTTTTAGGCTATTTCTAGCTGGTAGATTGAATTGTAATTGGTTTTAAGTAAAAAAAAATTTCTCCCATCATGGGAAATTGGATTTCTCTGAAACCAATGAAATTGAAGGGAAAACATACTAAGCTGGTATTCCTCCCCATCTCTCCCATTTTTCTGTTCCTTTAAAAACCCTCATCCATACTTACAAGTTGGCAAAAACAAAACTCACGAAATTTGGAAATTTCTAATTGCCTCCTCATACTGGTCAGCTTTACAATTTCAACTTACTGAGTGTGATAGAGTTACCCTTTATATTTAGGGATTGGATCTAAGTAAAAGGGGAACATTAGAAAACAATTGGGAAAAATTACTAAAATTACTTTTAGTCTTTGAGTTGCCTTTTTTAAGCTTTATAAAATAGTGGGAAGACAATAAAATAAAGATTGTATGGGTACTTTTTACACATACGGGCAAATGACATAATAGGTTTACAGAAATTGAGAAAGATTGAATGGGAATTGGAATAAAAGCCCCAGGAGCATACTTTTGACAAATGCAGTGTCCGTGTCCCAAAGAATGTTTCTCATTGTAAGTGATCTTAAGTGTCTTAAAATATATCTGCTGAATGATCCATAATACTGTATTCTTAACTGTGAGATTGGTTTTTGGCTTTTAATCTTAGCTAAACATAAGCATTCAGTATTTTCAGGTGTTAGGAATCACTGCCTCACTGGTAAAATAAGAGAATTGATCTCAGTGACCTTTAAAGTCCCTTTCCACTCTCAAAGTATGTTTCTGTGGTTGAGTGGGAGGCCAGAGAATGATGACTTTTAGTGAAAGTCTATTACAAGTTTCAGACTGAATAACTAATGTAAGATCCCAATTTTTCCTTTTTTTCATTTTAGATTTGGGGATATTCCCTGCCCAAAAATTTCCTGGAAAATTGACTAGTATTAAGTGTGAGTAAAAGGTGTCCACTTTTTTTTAAGTTTTGATTTTAGTTTTGTCTTGGATAGTATTTGGCAAGATTTAGCCTAGAAACTATGTAGTACTTATTACATGAGAATCAAAATTGCTTTGTTACGGGGCTGGTTTCAAAATTTAGAACTCATTTCTCTGTATCAAAATTGTTCTTTTTTTGTTTTTGGGGTTTTTTTGTTTTTTTTTGTTTTTGTTTTTTTTTTAAATTCTTAAATGGTAAATGTACCATTGTGCAATGAAATTTCAACTCCCAAAGTTTACCCTTTTACTAACTGGAGTAAATGAATAATTACAAAGTCTTTAGTTGTAGCCATCATTTGTAAAAAAAAAAAAAAAAAAAAAAAGAAAAGAAAAGAAAAAAGAAAAAAAAATGAAACCAGGCTGCATAAGCAAGCCTTTGCAGGGCCAATATTGAATGTCATGCCAGTGACACTGGTGTTGCTGTAAAAGAAGAAAAAAAAAATCTTCCCTTGGATAGAAGCTTTCTGTATTTTGACAGTCCCAGTTCAGGATGGCTATAATGCTGCTCTGCCTTCTACAGCTTGCTGCACCACTCTGTAGTTACTCGATAACTATACGTTTCTATCTTTTTTGGTTAAACACTCCCTGAAGATGGTAAAGATGATAATGATGTACATACATCCGTATTAGTATTATACACATTGATACATGTGTAAGGATCTCCCTTCATGTTTACTCTGTGGGCTGGGCGAAATTTAGTGTAACATATTGGTACACATCATGATACTTTGGTATAAGAGTAAGTTCACTATTTTTATAATGAACCCAAATCTGAAGGCTTTTATAGTGTATTTTAAAAGGGAAAACTTACCCAAATGTTTTATTTCTACACATTTGTGTATATGTGTGTGTGTGTGTATAAGCCAGTTAGTATGTATGTATATGTATATTATATACATAAAACACTATATTTTTTCATACAAGTATGCTTTTATTATACAGATAATAAAGATGGGGGAAGGTTTCTGTTTTTTTCTTAATAGGTGAAGAAATCTTGAAGACCAGAAATTGGATCTTATTGAATTTTGGTGTTCTTTTTCTTTTTTCTTTTTCTTCTTTCTTTTTAAATTATATTGTTCGGCTATGGAAGATGGATTTTTTTTTTCCCAATAATCTTTTGAATCTCAAGTTCATCTTTAAATGAACTCTCTTTTTGTTGGTTTTTTGTTTTTGTTTTTGTTTTTGAGGAGATAACTAACCCTAGCTGTCTCCAGTATGACAAAGGTTATTCAAATGGACTTAATCTCCCAGTAGTTGGGAGATGTTTTAAAAACACCTCCTGTGTTTGAATTGTGGCTGAGAGGTTTCCTTGGCAATGTGAGGAGGAAAATTCTTTCTGCCTCATTATTATTAATTCATGGATTGAGTGTTGGTTCGACCTACAGGCGTAATAGATTGGAACTCAGTGAAGACACAGAGGTTCCTGTTGAGAGCAAGCAGCTAATGTAAGTGTGGGAATGGGGTTTTTCTTATTAAGGGAGTGAACATTTTTGTAATTTAAGGCATAATTTTCCTGGGTCAGTAAGAAATTAAAAAGCCATTGTCAAGCCATTTTTTTCTTGTAATTATTTACAAGCTTTTGGTTTGGGGATGGAAAAACTCCCCCCCCCCCTCCTTTTTTGATAATACATGCACATTATTAAAAAAGTAAAAACAATATACCACCTAATAGTAAGAGGTGATTCCATGTCCTCTTAAAAAAGCACTATCGGGGCGCCTGGGTGGCGCAGTCGGTTAAGCGTCCGACTTCAACCAGGTCACGATCTCACGGTCCTTGAGTTCGAGCCCCGCGTCAGGCTCTGGGCCGATGGCTCGGAGCCTGGAGCCTGTTTCCGATTCTGTGTCTCCCTCTCTCTCTGCCCCTCCCCCGTTCATGCTCTGTCTCTCTCTGTCCCAAAAATAAATAAACGTTGAAAAAAAAAAAAAATTTAAAAAAGCACTATCAAGGGCGCCTGGGTGGCTCTGTCAGTTAAGCGTCCGGCTTCGGCCTGTGTCTCCCATCTCGCCGTTCCAAGTTCGAGCCCCGCTGTGGGCTCTGTGCTGATGGCTCAGCTTGGGGCCTGTTTCAGATTCTGTATCTCCCTCTCTGCCCCTTCCCCACGCATGCACTGTTTCTCAAAAATAAAATAAACATTACTTTTTGTTTTTGTTTTTGTTTTTAATAAAGCACTATCAAAGGGTGCTTGGGTGGCTCAGTCAGTTAAGCTTTGGACTCTTGATTTCAGCTCAGGTCATGATCTCATGGTGAGATCAAGCCCTTCATCTGGCTCTGCACTGGGTTCGGAGCCTGCTTGAGATTCTCTCTCTCTGTCCCCCTCCCCTTCCCCAGCTTGTGCGAGTGCTTTCTCTCTCTCTCTCTCTCAAAAACACCATCTGTAGTTTATCATGACATAGTTCCATGTCCCTGCACGTAGATCTGCCTCATCTGTTTTTTTAATGACGTGGTAGTGTTCTTTTATATGGAAGTGCTGTAGTTTAAGATCTCTCACTGATAGACATTTGGGGCTTTGCCATTAAAAAAATAATAACCGTCCATCCAATTGATGGCCCTGTACACACATCTGTGTAAACTCTTTCCCTAAAAACAGTTTTCAGATGTGAATTAATACAATTCTCTAAAGAGGGTGTACTAGTTTACGTGAATAAAGATGTTTTTTGAATTTGTAAAAGTTCTTTTTTTTTTTTTAATGTTTATTTATTTTTGAGACAGAGACAGAGCATGAACAGGGGAGGGTCAGAGAGAGAAGGAGGCACAGAATCTGAAACAGGCTCCAGGCTCTGAGCTGTCAGCACAGAGCCCGACGCGGGGCTCAAACTCACGGAGTGTGAGATCATGACCTGAGCCGAAGTCGGCCGCCCAACCGGCTGAGCCACCCAGGCGCCCCTAAAAGTTGATATATCCTTTTAACTATGGTGATGCTAGGAAAGTTTCCCCTCCACCCCTACTCCCGGCCCAACCTGAGCCGAAGTCGGCCGCCCAACCGGCTGAGCCACCCAGGCGCCCCTAAAACTTGATATATCCTTTTAACTATGGTGATGCTAGGAAAGTTTCCCCCCACCCCTACTCCCGGCCCAACCTGAGCCTATTAAAAACATATCACTCATTTAGGGGCACCTGGCGGCTGGTTAACCGTCTGACTTCAGTTCAGGTCATGATCTCATGGTCTGTGAGTTCGAGCCCCACACTGGGCTCTATGCTGATAGTGTAGAGCCTGCTTCAGATCTTCTGTCTCCTCTCTCTGCCCTGCCCTTGCTCGCTCGGACTTGCTTTCTTTCTCTTTCAAAAGTAAATAAACATTTTTTAAAAAAATACCATGCATTTATTTTCCAGTGCTTGGTTATATTTTTTATATTAATAATGTAATCTAGAACTACCCTATGATCCAGCGATCACACTACTAGATATTTACCCAGAGAACACAAAAATAGTAGTTGAAAGGGACACATGCACCCTAATGTTCATTGCAGCATTATCTGCAATAGCCAAATTATGGAAACAGCCCAAGTGTCCATTGATTGATGAATGGATAAAGAAGATGTGGTAAATGTATACAATGGAATATTATTCAACCATAAGAAAGAATGAAATCTTGGCCATTTGCAACAACATGGATGGAGCTAGAGAGTATTATGCTAGGGAAAATTAGAGAAAGACAAATACCACATGATTTTACTCGTGGAATTTAAGAAACAAAACAAAGGTGGAAAGAGAGACAAATCAAGAAACCGAC